CCCGGCCAGTGTGGCTCGTAGTTGAGGGTCGACCCATGCACCAAGAGGTCGCCAGTTGGATTCCTGGTCAGGTCACATGCCCAGGTTGTGGGCCCCATTCCCAGTGGGTGGCATGCAGGAGGTGGCCAATCAATGTTCTCTCTCATCGATGTTTCTCTCTCTTTCTCTCCCTTTCTCTCTCTCTAAAATCAATAAAGAAAATTTTTTTAAAAAATAAAATACTGCGAACGGGCCTAAAAATGGCGAGCTGCATGTTTTTTAAATGTTTTAATCTATTTATTGAGTAAATTTACTACACTTTAAGAAAACATTTCCCTATTATGGACATTTAGGTTTTCTCTGAGTTTGGGGTACTAAAACTTAAAAGAATATAGAAATGTCTCTCATATTTTCAATACTAATTGAAATGATAAATTTATTTTTTTCATCACTCTTTTCAAGGGAGTAAATAAAATACATATTTTTCTGGCAGTTGTGTTCTACTTTTGGTTTACTGAGAGATACATTAGCCTTCTGGATACCAGAGATGTAGAATAACTGATCTGTACTTCTGATGCCCTCCAGGTCACACAGTCTGTTGTGAATTTATTCTCTGGCTGATCCCATAATCATCATCTTCATCATTATTGCCAGCTTTATAAGTTTATTAAGAGCTTTATAAATAATATCAGATGCTTAATTTTTATCTATTCACCCAGGTCCTATTTTCCTGCACTGTTTTATTTAATTTTGTTTTATTTTTTTTTCTAAGAATCTTCGCACTTCTCATCTCTTTACAAGCAAGTCCCTTAGTGAAAAGCACATGGATTTTAAAATGAAAGATTTAGAATTAAAACATAATTCTGCCACTTATTGGCTGTGTGACCTTTTGCTAAGTTAAATTTTCTGAGACTATAAAATAAAAACAATAATATCTACCTTGTGAGTTTAGTATTGAGTCACATATATAAATATATGTATCACCTTCTACATGCCAGGTACTTTTCAAACTTTTGGAGTAGCTACAAGCAGGATAAATTGTAAGGTAAATAGAGCAGACTGTGGAAGAATCAAGGAGATAGTATGAGATGGATGTAGTGTAGAAAGTCACCAAACTAAGACCTGAACTTTCAGTTGAAGGAAGTTGAGAGTTGTGGGAAAGAAGAAGTATTCAGGGAAAGAAAGAAAGAAAGAAAGAAAAAAGCCAGGTAAAGAGGCCCTGAAAACAGAAAGAACTCAGTATACTCAAAGAATTGAAAGAAATAGAGAAATTTAGAACCATGCAGAATAATGGAGAGAGTGATTGCAGATGGATCCAAAAATGGTTATTTTGAGAGACCCTATTGTTGGCCTATTCAATTGCATTCTCTTCATCATTCTTGATAAAAGAACCCCAAATTATATTGTTGAGATAACTGAAGGACCAAGACCCATGGGATAAATTATGAGTTAAAGTCCATCAGAGTACCTTCATTGTCTCTTGCCAATGACTGTTTAAGCATGATCATGGAGCCCAATCTGGACCAAAGATGTAAAGGGAAGTCCGCAGAAAGAGGCCTCCAGGAAGCATTTTCCTTTTATTTAAGAGGAGAGAGATGTAGAAAGAGGAAACCTTATCTTTCCTTTTTGAATTTGGTGATTATTGTGGAGATGTGACTATTGGAGCAGTTCCTGCCATCTTTCTGCCATAAGCAAGACACTATTGACACACTGGGGATAGCAAGGAGCTGAGGCCTTGAGGACTCATTGAACAGTCACTGAACTGCTGAGCTAACTCTGGAACTGCTTCCCTCTAGAACAATTTACTATATGTATTAGATAATAAATATCCATATCAATTATGGCACTTTCAGTTGAATTTTTATTCCCTGCCACCAAAGGTGTCCTAACCAACTATAGTTCTTGAAAGACTATAATCTGCAGGGCTTTGTAAATCATGTTAAGGCTTTGGAATTTAATCCTGAAGGTTATGGAGAGCCATTAAAGGGTTTTGAGCATGGGATAACCTATGATATTTGCTTTTCAAAGGGTCACTTTAGTTGCATTATGGATAATAGCCTGGACAGTGGCAATAGTGGATGCTGGTAGAACGAATAGGAACTATTGCAGCAGGTTATACAAGGGAATGCAGTGATTTAAAGTAAGTGGTAACTGACCATGGGAATAGAGAAAAATAAAACAATTTAAGAACTACTGGGGTAAAAAAACCTACTGAGAGATACATTGAAGGCAGAATTCTGACTGTGATTGTGATTGATTCAATGTGAATGAGGAAGAGGAAGAAATCAAGGATGGCTTCCAGGTGTCTGGGCTGAGCTAGCAGGTAGATTATAGTGTCATTTACTAAGAGAGAGATAAATAGCTGGAGGTAAAACAGGTGAGCTGCTACTACAATGAGTTTATTATTAGATATTTTGAGCTGAAGGTGCCAAAAAGCAACCAGGTGACATGTCAAGTAAGCAGTTGGGCATTTGAGTGACCTAGAGTAAAGACTTGAAGGTCTTAGGATCTTAATGGTTAACAGAATCTATGTGCTTTTTGAGATTCTATGAGAAGGGAAAAGATACTAAGACAAATCTTCAGGTCTTCAGCACTTAGCTTTTCCATGGAGAAGGAGAGGCCAGCGAAGGAGACTGAGAAAGAACACCAGAAAGAAAAAAAGAAAGTCAAAGAATGTTTCCACAAGGAGGGAGTAGTCAACACTGACACATAAAATTGAAAGGTCATGCAAGAAAAGGACTTAAAAGAGTCTATTGGATTCAGCCACATCAAGGCCATCCACCAGTGACATTGGTGATAAAGTAGTTTTTAGACAAATGGAGGTAGAGCAGTTGGATCACAACCCAGATTGAACTGGATAAAGAGAGGATAATTAAGAAATGGACACATAAAAGGTAGAGAATTCAGTCAAGAAATCTGGCCTTAAAGAGGACATAAGGCAGGATCTTAGGAACATGTGAGATTGAGAAATAGTTTTTGGTCCTGGCTGGTATGGTTCAGTTGGTCGGAGCATCATCCCATACACCAAAAGGTGGTGGGTTCCGGTCAGAGCACATATCCAGGTTGCAGGTTTGATCCCCAGTCAGGGCACGAGCAGGAGCGTGTTTCTCTCTCTCTCTCTCTAAAAATCAATTTTTAAAAATTGAGAAAAAAGAAAAAAAATGAATTTTGTTTTAAAGATACCCAATTTATTACCAAGCCCTTTTAGGTCTTTCTCCTAAATATATTCCAAACCTGTCCATTTCTCACCTTCTATCCGGTTAACTCTGGTTCAGGCCTTTATCATCCTCACTTGGACTAATTCAGTGGCCTCCTAACTGGCTTCTCTGCTTTCATATTTTATTTTTGTATTTTTGAAACCACTCAGCAGTCAGACTAAATCAAATCTTGGCACTTGGAATAAAATTCAAATTCTTGGTCCAGACCTGTAAAATTGGATATGCTTAGGCCTGTTTCCTACATCATCTCATTGAATCTATACCCTTGGTCCCCTAGGCCCCAACGCCATACCCCTTCTTTCTGTTTTGTGTTCTTGACTCACTCACTGTACCCAGTGCTTAGCAAGCTTTTTCCCTAAATCTTTGAATGGCTGACTCCTTTTCATTATTCATGACTCTGCTCAAATGTCACCTCATCCAAAAAGTCTTCTCTGACCTTCTTATCCTCCCAGCCGCCCTCATTCCCTGTTTTATCTTCTTCGTGGTTCTTATTATCTGAAATGATCATGTTCATTTATTTATTTGTTGATTACTTATATCTTCTCATTAAAATCCAAGTCTGGGGAAACTGGATGAAGTTTATAGGATTATTATATTATGTAATATTATATATATTATGTATTACTACATATTATTTCTTAGTAAGCATGTGAAACTATAAGTATGTCAAAATAAATGTGTTTTTTTAAAAGTAAGTTCTAAGAAAACTGGATTTTGCTTGTTGGGAACTGGGTCCCCATCACCATAACAGAGTCTGGCATGCAGTGGACACTAACTAAATAAGTCTTATTAAATGTGCGAATTAATAAATTATATATTCGGGTTTGTTTTTTTGTTTTGTTTTTAAATGGGGCTGCCCTGGCCGGTTTTGCTCAGTGGTTAGAGCATTGGCCTGTGGTCCAGAGAGACCCGGTTAGGTTCCCGCTAAGGGCACATACTTCGGATGCAGTTTGTCCACAGCCCCAGCTGGAGCTGTGGGAGTGGCAACCACTGATGTGTCTCTCTCACACTGATGTTCCTCTCTCTCTCTTCCTCCCTCTCTCCCTCCCGCTCTATCTGAAGATAAATGCAAAAATGTCCTCCGGTGAGGATTTAAAAAAAAGGATGGGGCAGAGAATACAAACAACAGCAGAAAGTGGAAATCGGAGAATTTAGCACTAGCATTCCTGTCTTAATGTTGGCATTTGAATGCCGGTGTTCAGAACTCGGTCCATTATTCCATGCTGTCTCTCCATTAATAGAGTATTGATTAGCTGACTGAAGTAGCGATTGGCACTGTCTTAGAAGATGCTCAGTCATCGTCATCTTTGTAACCTATTATGACTACAACAGTGCAAGACTGATGGGACCAACACCTTACAAGCAGGTGTTCTCTGATCCCTATAAAGCATGACCAGGCCTGCTCTTTCCTTCCTTAACTTGTGACCCTGGACCCTGGAGAAGGTGGATGTGGACCATAGCCTGGAAGGTTCACTGCTGAACTTGGTCCTCTGCTCTGCAGTCGCGGTTTCAGGTTTCAATCCTCGCAGGACCACGAGACGCTGCAGCTTGCACCGCGCGGCTGCCGCCTCCGCCTCCGCGCCTCAACCCAGCCTGCACACCAAAGGCAATTTCAGACTCGGATTTGCGCACTTCGCCTGCTCTAGACCGAGGTTGGGCGCAGCGACTGGGACTTGCTTCTAGGCTGCGTTTGCTGGGCGCGCTGGGAGGCGGCGATCACAGCTGGGCTGGGACTTCCTTCCTCTACCGCAGGACAACAAAACAACCCGGCAGCCGGCACTGAGCTCTTGGCAGCTGTCTGGGTGAGAGGCGCTGCTATGGGCTCCGTGCTGAGCAGCGATAGCGGCAAATCCTCGCCCGCCTCGGCTACCCCGCGGGCCCTGGAGCGCAGAGGGGATCCCGCGCTGCCCGTCACTTCCTTCGACTGCTCCGTGTGCCTCGAGGTGTTGCACCAGCCTGTGCGGACCCGCTGCGGCCACGTGTAAGTGCCAGGGGAGCTCGGTTTGCGTGCCCATCCCCTGGGGCGGACTATATTGAGGGAGCCCAGGGCTTAGGGAGGAGGCGTTCAGAAGGCAGCAGGGGGTAACCTGGACCCGTCGAGTGCGGGCCACAGGAAAGAATGCCCAGTCGGAAGGTGACACAGGATTTCTGGAGGAAAAAACAGCAAAAAGCCAGCAATACAGCCCCTATCCCCACCCCCAAGCCTCCGAACTGCGTCCTCCCGAAGCCCAGGTGTGGAGCCCCAGGGATGGGAATCCCGGGTGCGGAACCCGCAAAGAGCCAGGGTTCGCCAACTGGCTGGGGAAGGTGATCTTGGCAGGAGAACCAGCACCGCCTTGGCACAAGGCAGTGGGCTCCCGCAGAGTACAGTTATCCCGCTGAACTCCGTTAATCCGGTGTTGCGTTCCTCCCCCCAAGTCCCAGAGTCGGTTTTGTTTTTCTGGCTGTGTGCACGTGTTCCAGAAGGCCCGATTCTTGAGCAAACAAGGACCTGTGCAAATTGTCCTTCCACCCCAAAGCCCGCCTCCCTTTCCTAATACTGACATCCACACCACTCCAAGATCGGCTAGTGAAACTGGAAGGTCCAAGTGGTTTACTGTAGTCGTTAAAGTTTAACAACCTGGCCGGGTGGAGTCTGGGGCTTGAATGTTAGCACCAAGCCATGAATGTTGCTGTTTAAAATCCAAGAGGTTGTGACTACCTGCCTTACGCACTGCCTCCGAACATCGATCTAAAGTGTAGATAAAAATAACTATAAAATCACGTGCTGTATAGTTAAAACTCGCAGTTGGCTCACAGCCGTGGTAGTTTCTGAGTTTAAAAACAACATCTCTATATAAAATTGTCACGTTCTTAATATGTGCTTGAATAACTAGTAGCAGGAGGTGCATCTGTGAATTTGTTTACTCAGAAGCTTTCTTTTCATGGGTGCACGGGTGTGTGACTGTGTGGGGGAGTGGGGTTTGAATAGAGCAAGATTTAACGCCTTTGTGGACCGTTCACTAACTATAGTTTGATAAACTCTAGGGCAGTACCGCAGAGGCTAGTGCTTCTGGTTTACCCATATAAAAAGAAGTAACATATTCTAAATGTAAGTGCACAGAATGTTTACAAAAGGTGGTCCTTGACTCCTGTAGCCTAGTACATGAGAAGTGGTTTTCCCACTGAAAGCCCAGCAGTGAGTCATGGGGAGAAAAATCTTGAACCCACACAATGTTGAAATAAGGAGTGTCCTGAACATTACTCTGTGGCTGTATTCAGAGGCTGTTGTTTCAGCTCTGTACTTTAAACTCAAGGCTAATTTACCTTCTGTGTGATTACTCATGTTGTCTCCCAGCTGTCCAGATGTAGCTCATTGACTTACTATTCCAAGGCCAATATGGAAACCAAGATGATGTTGTATAACTGTATAAAATACATTGATTTGCTCAGGGCAGTAACCCTCTCAATCGAATTTAGCATTAAAACTTTACAGTAGTGCCAAAGCTGCACAGTGGTTATCGAGCCTTAAGGATGTCTTTTGCAGAACTGAAATGAGCAACTTTGCTATTGGATACTGGAGATTGTTATCTAATTGGAAGTTGTTTTCCCTGGTTTGAATTTTGAATGCTATAACTTACTATTTGCAGTGCTTTTGCTTCTGCTAAAGGATAATATAAATTTGCAAAGTGTTAAGTCTTGTTTAATCTTTTCTTTGTTAAAGTGAATAGGAAACCAGCAACTGGAAAAATAGTCATGAAGTATAACGAGGGCTGGACTGGACAAGTGGCCTTTCCTCACTTTACTGTTCTTTGTTTTGACAAATCTATGTCCATTGTTCTGGCTGTGGGCAGAATTTCCATATTCCTCCTTTTGGCAAATTTACTTGGGCCCCTTCCGCTTCATAAATGTTCATTAGAATCCCTTCTGCACGGGATATGGTGAGTGCTGTTAACACCATTTGTACTTCCTAAATCAATTGCTCTCTCCCATTGAACTTAAATTGGAAAATGCAGTAATGCAAATAAAACCTCTCTATATTACCCCATATTAAAGCTAACTTCCAAACTTGTTGAACTAGGTCATTTATGCTAATTTACATTGATAAACTGATTTCAAGTCAAGCAAGTATAATGTCATCAATACCTTGAGTGAATGTGTATAGCACTTTATAAATTGTATTGTGATGCAGTAAAAACAGTGGGTGATGACCAACACATTGTTTAATCTCTTTGAATCTGTTTCATTTGTAAAATATGGTAAGTAATGGAATTTTATGAGTATTTAAATGTACAAGTAGCCATAATAAAGGCTGAAAACAGTTTGAATTTCCTTTAAAGTCTTTCCATTAAGCAAAAACCCATGAAGGGATATTATTTATCTCTACACTTCTTTTGGAAAAAAAAAACAAAAAACAAAAAAACTGTGCAACAAACGATGGACTTTAAGAACTTCCATTTTAAAGTTTTATCCCTTCAAAATAACTTTGTTTATATCACTGTATCAGTTGTAAAAATACACTTGGTGGGGGGGCTTCTTTATCTTTGTCCTATCTTCTGTTATCATCTGAGCTGGGGGGAGAGGGAGTAGATAAGTTAAGCTGTTTAAATGAAACTTAAAGGAAATCTAATTTACATTTAAAAGAAATATTCAAAGACATTTGTTGTCCAGTTGGATATTGGTAGATACAGGGGGAAAAAGAAGTCTAAGACAACTCTCAAACAGGTGACAGAGATAAAGGGAGTAGAGTTTAACTCAGGAGGAAGTTAATGAACTCATGATTGGGCCTGTTGAAAATACTGTAGTCCCACAGGGAGATATTCGAATGGAAATACTCTAGAGGCACTAGGAGAGTGGGTTTGAAGGAAGAGATCAGAACTGGAGGTAATGGAGTTATCTTAAAAAGGACTAAGAGGTTGAGAATGAACCTAACAGCTAAGTACTTACTGGAGAATACTGTAAAGTACAAAGAGCCATACCTCCATTGAACTGATTGGATTAAATTGCTCTACTTCACAGAATTTGTCTATATATTTTTTTAATGGAACGGTTGAGGATAATTCTGAAATGCACCCAAGTAAATGGATTAAAATGTTCCATTTGTGCTCAAGTCTAAGCAATACAGCCTACACCACATTAGTAACTCTCTAAGTAGAGTCTGAGAATCAACTAATGAGTTTTAAACTGACCCGGAAATATACATCAGTGCTTTCATTCATAGATGCAGGTATTTGAATTGAGGTAGTAGGAGTTTTGTGGAAGTTCCCCTATGATGGCAAATTATCATTGACATAATGTTACCAGTGAGATAGCAACTAATGTATACTCCTATCATTTCACTTAATTATATATCTTGGACATATTTCCATAGCAACACATACTTTTCCTTCTTTTGATTTTTATGAATCAGAGTTTTCAGTCTTCTATTAGAAGATCCTTAGGTTACTAGTTTATTGTTATTATAAACAATGCTATATTTTTCTACCCATTCAAAAAATGTCTTTCTAATGAACATTGGTGTGTGTGTGTGATAATTTTGCACCTATGAATGTTTGTAAGCCTAAATTTTTAGCCAAATGAATATTCTTTTTTCTTTCTTTCAAATAACAGGCAGGTAGGAGGATTTCAAAAGAAATTGTCTACCATACTTTTTAAAGACATTTACACCTTCATCTTTAGGTATGTTCCAATAAATTATAGGAAGACAAAAATAAATAAGTAAATAAATATGAACTGTCCAGGCTCCTGATGCTAAAAACAAATGTATATGGAATGCCTCCTTGGATAAGTGTCACTTAAAATGAGACAAATGGAGTCTTTCTTACCATCAAGGTTCAAAAACTCTTGAGAGCCATTGCTCTAATAAAGAAATGCTACTTTCTACATCAGTGGTTCTCAACCTTCCTAATGCGTTGACCCTTTAATACAGTTCCTCATGTTGTATGTGGGCGTATCTGCATGTGGGCGGACCCACCTGGAGACAGATAGAGGAGCGGTGTCTCGGTTCCTAAGATCATCGGAAATATGTGTTTTCCGATGGTCTTAGGCGACCCCTGTGAAAGGGTTGTTTGACCCCCAAAGGGGTCATGACCCACAGGTTGAGAACCGCTGAATTAGATTATATATTCTCTTACAAACAAAACCTAAGTACTGTAGCAAATTGAGTTTTATGCCCAGATCCTTGGACCAGCAGTATTGCAGTGTGTCAGGCCCCACCTCAGATGTGATGAATTGGAATCTGCACTTTAACAAGATGCCCAGTGATTTGGGTCCACCTTTAAGTTTGAGGAGTGCAGACTTGGATAACCCTTTTTAAATTGACAGTAAGATACAGAAAATTGAAGTGTTTGAAGGGTATAGAGCAGCGGTTCTTAACCTGTGGGTCGCAACCCCTTTGGGGGTCGAACGACCCTTTCACAGGGGTCGCCTAAGACATAACAGTAGCAAAATTACAGTTATGAAGTAGCAACAAAAATAATTTTATGGTTGGGGGTCACCACAACATGAGGAACTGTATTAAAGGGTCACAGCATTAGGAAGGTTGAGAACCACTGGTATAGAGAGACACCACTCTAAGATGCCAGGTTAAAGGAAATAAAATTGTTTTAGGGGTTAAATTTAAAATCAACACATAATGAAGTGTAGAGATATGAAAAGTCATATTTTGAATGATTTCCAGGATGGACTTTGAGTATAACCTAATTGAATACACAAGCACATCAAAGGAAATCTTCAGGGGCAGTGCAGGATTGGAGGGCCTGTGCTCTAAGAATAGCTGCTCTTGGACCAGTCCAGGCTGATCTATCAATGGTAAAAAAAAGGAGTGGTGTGTGTGTCTGTGTGTCTTCATTGCCCTATATTGGAATATTTTAGCCTGATACTCTTATCATTACTTTGAATAACAATAGCAACTCCTCTAATTCTATTCATGTTTTCAAGCTCACCAAGCCATCTCAAGATTTTCATCAGCTTCATTTTGACATACCCACAGTGAGGAAGCCT